TTAGTTACGGGTTTGCGCATGATTATTTCGATTTGTTTACTAAAGGGGCGGAGTTATCGCGTTGCATGTTGGGTACTAACGTTAAAGTTACGGTTTGGCGGAGTGAGTCCTCAGCTTTATGACCTACATTTATTCTACGATTTGGCTGAGTAGCTGGGTTCACACTACAACAAAAACACAAGCAACGGCGTATAATAGACCTTTCCGGAGTATCGATCAAACTTAACAACTGACTAATCAGAACAGTGCTAGGAATACGCGCGCGTCTCACAAACACAAAACAAAAACGCACGTGTTTGCGTATGTTTTAACACTGTCGCCTTGTGGGACCTTAGCAACAATATCCAAGGGGCGGGGCTTAGCGTAAAGGTCCATTACTCTGTGTGAACAGTTTTAAAAGCTTGCGCAGTGCTAAAAACAGTATGGTCTTATCCTCTCATGCAGCCTAATCGAATGTAAGTCCAGAACTAAACTCAGTCCCATATAAACAATACCAGACTGTCGTTTTAATTTTTGTTTAAAAAATGAATCATGTATTGCGGGTTTGTGCATTAATAAAACATTATTGTTATTGTAAGAACCTGTATTTCTATTAATATCTTTCACTCCGGTTCAGATAAGTATATATCCTTATTATATATCCTTATTTAATTTTACTATACCCACTTTTTGTCACTTCTGTGGCCTAGTTGCAACTAGGCCACAAAAGTGACAAAAGCTGTGCTATATCATTAAACAGTTAACCTGAAATGCTGATTAATTACATCGCTTCCTGTAGACTAAAGCGGGCACTCACCGCGTCGTACGACCGTCGCACGATGAATCCAACTCCGCTCCCTATATGCGCTATGACCACACGAATCCGTCTGCTGACTGTCGGTGGTTGTCTGAACGGATCGTCATTGGGTGTGCGTATTCGCGTTGCGATCTTCATAGGATTGCGTCGGTCGGCGAGCGTCGGGCGAAGTGAGTGCCCAGCAGAACATTAAGGTGCATTCAAACCGAATCCAAATTTTCGGATCGGAAAGCCAACCGAACCGATCAGAAAATCGAATCAGATTCGGTGTGAATGCATCTCTCCTCATTATACTTTTCTACAATCATCCACGATCAACAGAAGTTACACACTCTAATCACGTTCCATATTACCACAGAGTTTATTAAGCTCCATGATTCCACTACCATGAAATTGAACTAAAATTACAGTTTAATTTTTCCGTCTGCACCTACAGGTTAACGGTAATGTATATGCTAGCGGAAACTACTCCTGTTAACGCACAGGTAATTGAGAATATCACTGTACATAAGAGTCCTACATTGAAACTAAAGATTGCATGTTACTACCAGTAAATGTAAAACATCATTATAACATTCGCAAACGTTGCGAATGTTTTGATTATATCAGAAAAATGACGTCAACACAACGTTATTTCATTTACTTGGAAATTACGTTTAAAATACGTATTTAAGTTTCTACTAAAAAAAACCCTGTTTTTCACAACCAAACTGTAACGTTATTATAACGTCAAAGTGTTATCTGATTCCTCTATGAGTATCATTACAGAACATGATAATAGGTATATTTGACAAAATCGTTATATAACTTGTTGTCATTAACCAACTGAGCTTTTACTACACTCTCATAATTGAGGAGATAATTACTCTGTTCATCACATATTGATATAAAAATAACTCTTGGATCTTAAAACGTTGTTTATAATCATATGGGATGACGCCATTGTCGATCCACCAATATTTAGTTTAACTTTTTTCGCGTCCTCCAAATTAAATGCCCATACGTAATAGGGCTATGTCCGCTAGGTCATTTTATTCTGGACATACACTGCGTCAGGTCGAGGTCGTCGGTGCGACTCTGTATGACCACATGCTCCAAGACCCGCGTGACCGATTGTTCCCACGACAGGGGCGGATTTAGGGGGGGGCCGGCCCGGCCCCGGCCCCCCCTTTTGGCAGGTAAAAAAAAGGAAAAAAAAGAAAAAAAAGAGAGAAAAAGAAAAAAATGATAGCCCAGAATACCTCAAATGTTATGTAGATGTGTATAAGAGACAGCTGTTACCTGTACACACCCAGCGGCAACGCGTCGTCGAACGCTCGCAAGGAGCGGAGATGGATTCTTCGGCCGACAATCAACCACAACAGCACAGCGTTTTCCTAGCTTCATATGCAGCTTCGTTACTACTTATAATAGCAGGGGGATTCCTGTCCCCTACGTTCTTGCATCTTTTTCTTCCTCATCACTACAAATAGCAACAAATTCTCGAACATTATCCCGGTCGTAATTTTTCCTGTCATGCTTTTCTTTTTATTGGACTCTGATATCTCATTCGCGTTCCCATTTTACATTCTGTCGTACATAGATTATTTACTTTCGTTCACTTTAGTAGGCATGCGGCACCGTGCTTTTTATTTCTTCATATTTAAAGTTATACTGTCTGTGATAAGATTATTAAACATTTATTTGAAACTAAGAATTTGCTTATGTAAAAAAAAAAATCAAATAAATTATTAACTTAAGATACATATGTGATCAAACAATTCACAAATTATTTGCTACGTAAATTATTAAACTGATTCCAATTCAAACGTGTTTAAAAATCCTCAAATAATAATAATAAATACTTTATTTAGAATAAATTAAATGAGATATTAACTTTCAATGAAAAACAGATCCAAATGATTCAGATTTTAAACGTGTATATACACCAATTAATGGACCATTCTGGAGTGTCAATCAGACTTAACACCCGACCAATGAGAAGATGATCAGGAATACTCGCGCGTCCTACCATGGAGGAATTGTTTTTCGGGACCTTAGCAACAATATGCAAGGGGCGGAGCTTAGCGGAAAGAACCACTGGGGAACTTTCTTCACATTCCAATATTACATTGAAAGCTAATAAGATACTTAAACATACAAAATAAACAATTTCCAAATATTTAGCTCAATACCGTACCTATTTTCAACGTATTAATGCGTGTGATAAAAAACATGTTAATGTTTTTGGTTTTTTTTCAATTTGTTTTCTATTGAATAATTGTATAGGAAATGGTAAATCTCAGCATTTTAAAGACTAACTATAACATTAATTTATTGGCTCTGGCTTTCGTCCACACAGTACTCTTCATCAGGAGACTGTGTCTGTGAGACTTCAACATTCTCATGATGAAGTAAACTGTGTGGACGACGAAAACTAGAGCAAATAAAATGTTACTGTACACCTGTAGTTATAGTCTATAAGTGCTGAAATTTGTCAATTCTTTTACAGCTCGTTCTCCAAGACCCTCCCAAGACTCCTCTAATTCGAGACTACTTTAAAAGAATCAAGTAACAATCTTCCATCAGTTAACACTAAAGGCCAACTCAGACAGCGTCGTACGACGCAGCCCGACGCGATTTGTTGTCGCGTCGGGTCTGTTAAACGCAGACGCGATGGTGTGCGTCGGTGGCAGTCGCGTCGCAGAATATTAAACATGTTTAATATTTCTCACGACGGCTTAAGACTGTCCCCGACGATAAATCGAGTCGGACTACGTCGGCCGACGCTGTCTGAGTTGGCCTTAACAATAAACAACTCTCTATGTGGAGACCAAACCCTGAAACCATACCAAATGTTTTGGGTCTTAAAGGTGGTCTGGGATTGGAGGGCGAACTTGAACGATAGCAGACTAACGTGGCTACACCTTTTTTTCTATCATGGTTGAATACCTCATTATTAAATTATTTAAGTAATACTGAAGTTGATTAGATCGATACAGACAGTATATCTTTAAATTTGTAAACTTCTACACATCATAATTTTATTGCACATGCCTACTGCTCATTCAAGAATATTAATATTGATATGTAGTTTTGTTTAATTAATGGCAGTATGTTCTAAAATTGTTTTTAATGTTGTGTTCTTTCCGTTTCTTAATTTGTGTATTACGTCGTTGAAAGGGCTACAAAATATTGTTTTAATTAATAAAATAAAGAATTAACAGAATGGAATTAAAAGTAATTTGTAAAATAATACCTAAAATGGCAGTGTTTAATTAACAAATTATTTTTTATATTATTATTTGACAGACGTTCTTATTTACAATTATGTTTTGCATTGTTACGCTTTTGAATTATTGTAGGCTAGCCTACTGGGAAGTGGTTGCCCAACTGCCCACTCAATCACGTTATCAGTGAGCCTAGAAGCACTTAGCATAATCCAAGTAATATTGTTCACTGATGTTACTTTAGTAGGCCTACATTTTATGTAAAATTTATAACAGGCTTAATATCATTATATGACCTATTACTATTAGGTCTTTATGTAATCTATTAAAAACAATATCACCCTAAAGGAAACTATAACTTTTTAACAAATTACTGACAAATTTTATTTAATAACCACAATAAAACACACGATCTGTGGTTTAAAAAAATCTAATTTACGACGAGCAACAGAAAAACAGCCACGTCTCCGTAAAGTTGGTTTACTAGGCCTACTATTGTGTAATTGACGTAGGATTACCATTTTTAAACGATGATAACTTGCGTTGATGTAGTGAAGTTACTTGTGTAGTGAAGTTACTTGTGTACTTTGAAATCGTCAGTTAGGCCTAATCACAGGCATGAAAATGAGAATAAAATATTATTTGAAATTCATGTTTTATACATCTGAAGCAAAACAGGAAATTAATATAAAATCTATGTTTGATGACATTAATTAACAGGCTTTACATAAACACATTTTATCACGTATATATAATTCAATACCAATTTCCCCTGGTAATGGATAGGACACATTTTTTTTTTTATGATTACCGGTACATGTGTATCTTGACATACATTTACAATGAGGAAGTAATGGTTGACGACACGTCAACAGAAACGTCACACATATTCGTAAGCCGGCTAAAGACGGCGGTGACCGCCGTCGGCCGACGTGTTCCTACGGAAAACGCAATGCGAAGAGGCGCGCAACGGACTGTTTTTAATGACTTCTGTCTGCCACCGATATTTGCGGCGTCGCGTCGTCAGGCGCTCGTAGAGAGCGGAAATGTATGCGTCGATGCAGTATGTGCCCGGCTTCTGAATATTTCAACAGACTGTTTCATATCCAGTGCCTTTACCTTCCTTTTTAACGGCAACGGAGGAACCATGGTAACTATTATTTTCTATACGTACAAGCTGTCGAATAGATTGAGGAAGACAGTCTTTGACGCCATTTCTAAGCTGTTCATTGACAAACATATAGATGATCGGGTTTGCGCACGAGTTAGAAAACGCCATCATAACGAAACCCTGGTATGGAGCCGAGTAAAGGTATTGCCCATCGACCAGATCAAGAATGTAAGCAAAGTGCATGACTTGATCAGGAGTCCAACATATAATAAAAATAACAACGACTATAATGACCATTCGTATCATCTTTCGCCTAGCCCGCATCAGCGACACTCCGGGGTTTCTGCATGATGTGTTTCGTCGCATGAGGTTTCTCGCCTGGTTCTTCAGATTGTAGATAATCTTTAGATTTACGACGACCATAATACACACAGGTAAAAAATATTGCAACAGGAACAAGCAAACACCGATGAATATCCGGAACACTTCGTTCGGCCATTTGATTTGGCATTCACAGTCTATGACGTCTGTTATGTATATACTATAAGTGTAAAACACAAAAGAGAAAAAGCATATGGCCAGTACCATGTATTTCAATCTTGCAAATTTAAATATAACCTTATATTTAGTTGGATAGACTACTGCGATGTATCGGTCAACTGTTAAGACGGTTAAAAGCAGTACCGACGCGAATACGGACACCCAAAGCAATAACGATGAAAAAATTACCTTACAGTATAAATTCCCCAGGGCGGTATTTTCGACGTATTTTTTACGTGGGATTGGTATCATAGCCATTGAAGAAATCAGGTCGGCTGCAGCTAAGCAGACGATAAAGTACGAAGCAGAGTTGCGTATAAGATGCTTTTTGAGATACACTGTTACTACAAGTCCATTGCCCGAGATGCCAAGAATAGCGAATATTAGTCGGCATACTGTTATCCAAGTCCAAAAACTTTCGCTTTTGTTCAAATTAGAGCACGGATCATCGTGCATTTGATCAGTTGTATTAATATCCAAGTAGTCACTTACATTATATATGTCAGCCATGATGCACTTAGTTATTATCGGCGACAGGTCTATTCCACAGGTATTTTTTTTTCTCTTTACAGTGAAAGTAGAAGCGTCTCTTACAATACATAACGATATCAGCGTTTTTGATTGATTGAGTTCGCGTCAGTCTTTGACATAGCTCATCAAATTTGATGGATGCCAGCCTTGGAAGTTTCTTATATTTAAAGACATGATTAAGCGTACATAGAACACGCACACTATATAATTCGTATCAAAATATAGCCAGTCTCTTTTGAATAGTAGGCCTATATATGCAAATTTCAGATTGCGTCGACAGGAGGATTTCCGCTTTTCAGTCAAATAGCTGGTACATGAATCAGGAAATTACCTGTAAATGAAAAGAACATATTTAAAAAGACGATCGTATTAGGCTTATTATTCAAATTTAAATTTATTTGCATTTTAAAAATAATATAGTTTTATATAAATATTGAGAACAATATAATGAGAATACTCAAGGCCCTAAGCTACGGTCAAGATTATCAAATTTTCTTTGACCTAAAACTGTTGTATACGCATATATAGTCATGACGTGCCTATATATGGTCATGATGACATCACATTATGACCATATTTATGATTGTCACACTTTGGACAAGGATTAAGTATCTTTCTGTAAAATTGGACCAAATTGAAGTTAACCAAAAGATCACAACAGATTAGACACATTGAAAGGCAATTCAGTGTATATTTGACTGCAACATGATGATTTAAAAAATAAAATTTAAACATACTGTAACCAAAACTATTCCTTATACCTTGATAAAAATGGTTACATAGGAGCACTTTGCTGCTTTATGGCAAACAAACAATACATTTGAAAAAGACTACAGGGTTCGGACAACGAATATGCCCCTAATGTTAAATATTAGTAACGGTACACAAGTAGATAACAACTTAATAAATATAGCAATTAAAATATCCCATGACAGCCGCAGTGCACTGCAAGTTGGTCGTGAACGGACCAATCCCAGGATATTAATCAAACATAACAATTTGACCAATCAGAACCTGTTATCTATTAGCCAATAATACGCGCATGTCCAACAAACACACAAGCTTACGCACGTTCACCTGGTCATTTTGTGGGACCTTGGCAACGTTACACCAAAGACAATCCATGTTCTTTTCGGAATTTGATCTTAAATTTCGTTCACAATATAATTATTAGATTCGTATTTTGTTACAGCTTCAATATGATATTCATAAGTGTGTATAAATAGTTTGTCAAATCATAATGTTGCATTTGATAGTGTGGCTATTACTAATTTAACATATTTTTAAAAAACGTTCTTTCGACTTTTTGATAATTCTCACACAGTCACATAACTCTAGCTTTAAATGTATTAAGTATGATACAATTATTCTGAATTGTATAAATAGAATAAAATTGTTTAAGTACAATTAACACATCCAGATTAACCTAGGTGATCTAAAGATTAACCGTAATTGATTAACAGCCAATTAATAATGATTTTGCGCCACTCGCCTGATTTAGGGTCCATGATCCTGGTGGAAAAAATGCCGATATATATTCTGGGGTTCCTTAAGATTCAGGACATAAAACACCTTCATCTTTGTTTTATGGTTACAACTATAGGCCCTATTATATACTTACTATTTTACCTTAGAAGAATAAGTTTTTTCGACCTTGTATTACGGTACTATTACATTACATTACTATTACACCTTATGAGAGAGGTTTTGCCCTACCTGACTTGTTATCGTACCGAATACTCAGTACGCTCCCAAATACTTCCAAAAACAATTTACGAGTGATTCGGATGGGAATCGAACCCACGACACCCGATAACTAGCATAGTGACTTATTAACTCTGCCAACTTTTTTGATGGGTATTATTTTTCGCATAAGATTTGTATTTCTTGAGTAGTAGATATTAAATGAACTTTGCTCAGAATGTTTCATCTAAATAGACTCTAATTGTAAATATCATTTAAAAGGCTGTATAGCGATCCTGCGTAGTCGGTTTCATAATAGAAAGTGATGCATTTAAAATCGAATGCCAGATTGCACATATATACAGTATATA